AAAAAAAAAAAAAAGGAAAAGGAGCTCACTTTTAAACTCAAAGCCTATTTTTGAAAACTCTGGCACAGTGAGTCATAATCATTCATACGCAGAGATACTACTACCGTAGTACTATGTAGTCAAGTTAAAAAAAGATTTGCTGCAGAGCCTGAGAAAAGAGGAACATTTTGCTACTGGAATGAAACAGCTCCTCTAGCTCACAACCCTTTTTGTTGAATTGATTATTAAATGTCCCAGTGCTTCTTCTAAAGCTGCAATCTCAGTTAATAACCCAGTTTTGCCTTGTACCCAGAAATTCCAAATGCCGCTTTCTCTAGAAGGCTGAACATGGTTAAACGGTTACACCTAAGCAAGCATCTTTCTTCATAAGAAGAAATTTAAAAGCTGAGCTATTCAGAAGTAGAAACCAGAAAATGATAAAACCCTGAAATTATTATATTTTAATATTAAAAGCTAAACAGTTGTTAATATTGAAACTTATTGAATGTAGCAGCTCTAGACCAAACACTGCTTTCAAGCATGGCTATTTGCTCTATATCAAAAGGATGTGTATATCAAAATCAAGGATAACCCAGCCCCCCAGCCTCCAAGCACTGAATCCCTCAAAAGGCAAATACTGCAGATGAAATTACCAAAGGAAGCCTCATTCTTTCTCAGAGCAGCTAGAGCAGCTGCTCAGACACCAACCTGTAACTGAATTGTTTGTGATGTTTAAAAGCGTAATCCCCTCCTGACTGACAAGGTAAATGGGTAAAGTGGCTTCAAAGTCAAATACAACTTATGAAGAAAACACATATGGCATGGAGAACAACTCAGTAGCACTGAAGCCAGATGAAGATGCTGGAAGACGTTTTCTTGTAGTCACTTGACATATGAGTTCTATGGCTGGTGTCCAAACCAAGGGAGGGCAGAGGTTGAGGAAAGAGAAATGCTCCAGTATCAGATGACAAACAGTACTCCAGATGTGCTCAGAATTTCAAGAAGAATATTTAAAGAAGGATTATGCACAGTAAACATTGATGAAAAGATGCAACTTGGTACTCAATATTCAGAAAGCACCCATGTTCCTTTGGCATAAACAAAGTATATTAAAAATATATTTCATCAAGAGTACCACAGATAAAATAAACAGATTCACATTTTCATATGGACTTGCAAAGCAAAACTGACACTAGTTATGGACTTGCAAAGCAAAACTGACACTAGTTAACTGTAAAAATATTGACTAACACAAACACCCAGATCTCTGATAGAGCATCATACAAAACAATGGAGGAGCTGATCACACCAGAACTTCTACGAAGAAAAAAATAAGCACCTTTTTCCTATTGCTGACTGGTATTTTTTTCTTTTCTGTTGCCACCATTACTGTTTCTGCAAGTTCTCAATCCATTTATTTTCCTTTCTTTTGCCTACCTGGAACAACTTTAACATTACCTAGAAGACACTGGTGCTGTCATTTAATGAGAAAAGCACTGAAAACTTTTTAGTTTTCACCAGGATCAATACAGACACACAAGCAAAAGGAGTCAGCTCAAAAGCTCTAGGGAATCAAATAGGAAATAAAGATTCAGAATAGACTGAGGAAGAAAAATCAATTCTCCATGTGGGAGAAAGGAATCCACCTTCCAAAACTGTTTGGTGTCAATACTAAAGGTAGACAGCAACTTTTCAAGAGAAGGATCAAGATSAAAGGAATTGGTACTTCCTTTCCAGGTACTGGTTCACACTATCTGCTGATTACCAAGACCCTTTTGTAGTCTCATGCCCAATACAGAGGTTTCTCCACATGCTCACGACCTCTTCACACTGCCATCACACTACCATTCATTTGAGTATTCACTGGCTCACCCCTCCCAAATTTATTGCTTGCTAACCTCAAGCATACTTACTGCATGTGTTGCTTTTCAATGAAGATATAAGCGCCTACCCAGGCACATATAGCTGAGCAGGGAGGGAGGCTGGAGGGCTTGGGCCCCTCCATTCACCTCTCCACACAGCCCTTCCCAGAACAAGGCACCAAGAGCCTATCTGCTGCTGCTGGGGCATTTTGGTCTCCACTAGACATATCATGATAAAGAACGGTCATAAAGGAAAGACGGAGATATCAGAAAATAAGAAAACAAGTCAGTTACTGTTATTATACCAGCATCACAATTTAAATTAAAAAAAAAAAAAAAGGTAGTAACTGCAAAAATATTGAGAACCACACATGAGGCTTGGCTGAGCCTTGAACACTACATGAATGAAACTGGGTACTGCACAACTGTGAGTGGTTCAGGTAGCAAGAGAAGAGGCGCAAAGATGTTAGCATGCAAAAAACAACAAAAGAACAAATTAACCACAGTAGTTTTAGGATGACTTTTTTTTTTTTTCTGAGTAAAAAAGTCAAAATATGACCAGCTGTGCTTAGCAGGAAGGTATGAGAACTGCACTACRCTCACAAACACCTCCTGCTGCTCTAGAACTGCCAGGCCAGGAGAGCAGCTACAGCCAGGGTCAGCACAGCTGCTGCCAGCATGCAAGAAGAGGCCTATACAGTGAGCACAATAACAGCAAGGAGCACCATGGTACTCTGTGCTGAACAGATCTGAAGCACAAAACTAAAAGATATCACACACAAAAACAAACAAAAAAAACAAACAAAAAAAAAACAAAAAAGGGAAACTTAGAAAATCAGGATAAAAAAAGTGTCAGTACAGAAAAAAAAGAGTTTGAATTAAAAAAATGTGGAGCCATTTCGGAGAGATGATACTAAGGAATGCATTTCTAGAAAGCATGAAAGATTTTAATTGTTTCTTTCGAGGGAACAGGCAAACTCAGATTAAAACAATCAGGTGAAGGGATTGAAAAGCAGGGCAGGACGCTTCTGTGCTCTTCCAACCTAAGCTGTTTTTTTAATTACAGCCATTGTTCGTTAAAAAATAAATAACGGATCAATCCACTACACCTGAATTGTAAAATCCACCCAAGGTTCTTACCATGAAATACCAGAATCAGGGAGGGATATTGTGTTATCTAGCAAAATTCACCATTCTTGCCTATAGTGCTAAATATATTGTGATTGGACGCTATAATAAAGAAAGAGAAATTAAAAAGAGTATTTCCGTCTATATTAAAGAAAAGCTTTGTAATTTAAATAGTCATGAAAAAAGAAAGGAAGTCTAGGAGCTTGCTCTGCCATTTTAACTATTACAAAACCATTTGTTACATGGGAAATTTTTAATTAGATGAACAGTACCACTCTCTATGACACCAACTGTTAGAACCAAATTTTTGATCACGTATTAGTATATGTACATGCACAAGTATTTTTTAGATTACCAGATACATGCAGTGCCCAGGGAGGCTGTGACCTGAGCCTGCCAGCCCTTATCCGGGTCTGTAACTTCATGCATGACCAAGAGCCCTGCTGAACTGAAGGACCCGACCGGGTCACAGCTGGATGAGGGACCCAAAAGGGGACAAATGCACACTGTAAAATACTTGGTTTCTCCTTGATAGAAAGGGGGATACTCTAAAAAGGGCCGTATCTGTGTTCTACAGTTGTAAAGTGATGATGTATTTCAGAAACAGCTCCTTTCCGTACCACTATCCACAGAGGAGGCATCAAGGCTCAACCTCCATCTAGGGAAGCACTTTCCGGGAGGCGGCTGAGCCCTGCTCGGGCCGCGAGCATCAACTTCAGCACAGCAGCGGTGCGAACTTCACCCGCACACGCTGCCTCCCGGCCCGGCACTCGGGCTGAGCGCGCACAGAGCCGCCTCGCGCCGCGGTGCGACCCACGGCTGCCACCGTGGGTGCGGGGCGCGGCGGGACGCGGTGCGACGGGGCTCTGCGGGGCGTTTCGACGGGACGCAACGCGCTGGCCGGAGCTCTGCGGGCCGTTTCGACGGGACGCAACGCGCTGGCGGGGCTCTGAGGGGCGTTTCTGACGGGCACGACACGCTGGCCGGGGCTCTGCGGGGCGTTTCTGACGGGCACGACGCGCACGACGGGGCTCTGCGGGGCGTTTCGACGGGACGCAACGCGCTGGCCGGGGCTCTGCGGGGCGTTTCTGAAGGGCACGACGCGCACGACGGGGCTCTGCGGGGCGTTTCGGTACCTGAGCAGAAGCTGTTGCTGCTGGCGGTCCTGGCGGAGCAGCCCGAGGAGGCGGTGGGCGGGAAGTCGCGGCTCTCCTCCTCCGAGAAGGGCGACTCGGAGGCGGGCGACACCTTGTGCTGCTGCGGCCGCAGGACGAGGCGCGGGATGCGGCTGCGGGTCGCCTCCTTCTCCGGCGCCGCTCTCGGCTCCTTGGCGAGAGGCGCAGCGCGTCAGGGCCGCGGGGCGGGCAGGAGGCGGCGGGAGATGGCGGCGGCCCCGCCGCGCTCCTCCTGCGCCCCGCGCCACACGGCGGGAAACGGGGGAGGACCCGGGCGTGACGCCCCCCCCCTCCCCCGCCCGCACCCGGGCCGCCCCGCAGCCGCCTCCTCACCTTGGTGCTGTCCCGTAGCGGCCCCATGGCGCCTCAGTCACCGCGCGGCCCCGGGCGGGCACCTGGCATGGGAGAGAGGCGACGCTGAGGCGGCCGCGGCTGCTGCCCCTGACACTGCGGCGCCCGCCGCGC